CAGGTATCACTTGACCTAGTCAATCTTACGTGCTTAGATGAGCCTTGGTGGTGACAGCATTTCTGTGATCAAGGGCAGAGAAAATCAGCAGAGCTGAGATGAGAGATAAGATAGCCACCTAACCATGCTGAGGACAAGGGTCCTTTTTTACTGACATTTTAATGCAATCAGATTCCACACTGTATTACAAAGGGAATTTATGTTACCCGTGTTGCAGTGAAGGCTCAAAACCTCTAGTAGACAGTGGCATAGGGGCCAATGTTCAAACCCTGACTTAGGAGTCTGGTTGCCTTGTCCTGGCTCTGTAGACTTTTCCAGTCCCATTAGTATGAGGTAAACATTCTCTTTTAGTGGATAGAGCTCTGGAGGTGGAATCGGGAAGACCCGAGTTCAAATATTGCCCTAGTAACTTAACTTACTGTGTGACTCCAGACAAGTCCCTGAATCTTTCTAGACCTGTTTACTTACCTGTAAAATGAGGATAATAATACTAACTACTTCACAGCATTTTGAGGATCAGATGAGGTATCTGTAAAGCATTTTGCAAACCTTAAAGTACTATATATTGAAATGTAAATCAGGTGGAGTACCCAACTTGGAGTCAGGATGACATAAGTCTGAATTGTGCTTCAAACATTTACTAGCTGTCTGACCCTGGGCAAGTCACTTAACTTCCATCTGCTTCAGTTTCTTCATCTGTAAAATGACAATAATAGTAGCATCTAACTAACCAGGTTGTTGTGAGGATGAAATGCTTTGCAAAGTAGCATTGGACCTGGAGGTAGGAAGACCTGAGTTCAATACAGCCTCAAATGCTTACTAGCTGTGTGTCTGTCCCTGGACAATTCACTTAACTTTTTAAAAAAAATTTTTTTTGTCTACATAGAGATTTATTCTGATATTTATCAGTGGACAAATATCAGTAATATTTGTCAGTGAAGACAGCCCCTCCATTGATAAGGATCAGAACTCTTCTGCTACTTAGTATATAGTCCTCAAGAGTTTCTTTGGGCAAAAGCTTCACCATCTTTTGAAACATCTAATGTTGAGCCTCACTGAAGTTAGTTAGCTTGGTCCTTGGATGACTGGCACAGTCTCTCATCAGGCCTATATTTAGTCTTTTTTTTTTTCCACATTAGTCATGTTGAATTCACTTAATCTTTGCCTCAATTTTTTCATCTGTGAAATACAGACAATAATAACACTTACCTCTATCACTTTATACTTCAGTTTAATCAAGCAGTGATGTATTGTTCTAGTGATCTTTTTTATGAAACTCCCCCTGCCAAAATTTTACGTTTTCATCCTTAAAAATTCATTCATTCTAACTATGTAACTTGCTCCAATGACCACAAAAACCAAAACCCATTTGTTCTGTAAATCTTGCGGCCAGTTGCCAAAAAGCAATGTCGTTGGGCCTGACTTCATAAGTCCAGAGTATCTAGGAATGCTAGTATTTTGTTATATTAAAATTATTGCTATACTTTACCACTTGATAATTTGCACAATTAAAAAAAAAGCTTTTTTATGAAAGAGATGCCCTTTTCTTATTTGCTTTTATGAAAAAAGGCAACTGAAACTCAAATAAACAGGCATTAAATAACCCAAAAATATTGGCAAGTGCTCCATAAAATAGGAGAGTGTTCACTCCAAGTTGGGGTGAGATAATCCTCCTTTTTTTCCTCAGAAGCCAATAGCAGCTGTGTCTTCACTGACTGTATTTAGGTAGCTTTTTATATATCTTGCCCAAGACTGCCAGAATACTAATATTGTTGTTATTCATTCACATTTGACTCTTTGTGACCCCGTTAGGGGTTTTCTTGTTTTACTGAAGTGGTTTGCCATTTCCTTCTTCAACTCATTTTACAGATGAGGAAACTGAGGCAAACAGGGTTAAGTGACTTACCCAGGGTCACACAGCTAGAAGGTGTGTGACATTTGAACTCAGGAAGATGGGTCTTCCTGACTCCAGACCTGACACTCTATCCACTGTGCCATCCAGCTACCCTTCCGGGCAAGATTGCCAGAAAACTGACTTTACTCGACCCCCTCTCTCTCCACCTCCCTCTCCAAGATGGGGTGCAATCTGATATAGGCAAATATGATATACATTCCTATTAAACATATTTTCACATTAGTGATGTTGTAAGTAAGAATTAGAACCAATAGGAGGAACCACCAGAAAGAGGAAACAAAACACAACGGAAGAAAAAAAAATAGCGAATAGTATGCTTCGATCTGCATTCAAACTCCATAGTTCTTTCTTTGGATATGGATAGCATTTTCTATCTTGAGGCCTTTGGAGATGTCTTAGATCCTTGTATTGCTGAGAAGGGTTAAGTCTATCAATATTAGTCATCACACAATGTGGCTGATACTGTGTATAATGTTCTCCTGGTTTTGCTCGTTTCATTCAGCATCAGACCATATAAGTCTTTCCAGGTTTTTCTGTTCATCATTTCTTACAGTAAAATAGTATTCCATTACATTCATATATCACCTTCACAGTTATGATTACTATCTATGTCTTTCTTTCCATCCTTTTTCCTCTCTGTTTATGCTTTTCTTTGTCCTTTCTTCTTTTCCCTTCTCACTAGTGTTTTGCTTTTGACCACTGCCTCCCTCAGTCCTGCCTCCCTTCTAACCCCCCTCCCTTTTCTTTCCCCTTTTCCATCCTACTGCCTATGGGGCAAGTTAGATTTCTATACCTAACTGATTATGTTATTCCCTTCTTGAGCCAAATCTGATGAGAGTAAGGTTCAAACAATGCTCATCTCCCTCCCTTCTTTCTCTTTGCTGTAATAGGTTTTTGTGCCTTTTCCTGTAATGTAATTTACCCCTGTCTGTCTCCTCCTTTCCTTTTCTCTCAGTACATTTTCTTAGTTAGATCAGATTAATCCACTTACTTGGATCCATTTAACCCACTTGATTAGATTTTGCCTTTTCTTACTTGAATAATGAGCAAAAGTTTTTTTGCTTTAGTTTGATTTTTATCTTGGGTTTGAAGTATCTGGGTAATTGATGAGGCCAGACTATTTACATACTTCTTTGTCTCTCATCTGTTGAAATACAACCAAGTCAGGCTTATGGTGGTGAGTGGGGAGAGGGAACCTTTCTAAGGACATGAGAAATTGGACACCCTGTCCCTTTTGTTAGCATAAGGGCAAGTCTTAATCATGAACAAATTCCAGATTCTTAGCAGAGCTGTGAAAACAAACAAACAAACAAACAGCCAAGAGCTATGGGTACAAACCCTGCTAGTTCATTTCTCCTTGGCCCTGTGTATGGGGTTATGGTATTTTGCCACTTGCAAATCTTTTTCTTATTCATTCATTTACTTTTTTGTTTATTTATTCATTCATTCATTTTTTTGCTTTGCTTTCACAAATGAATTGAACCTGTAACATATCCAAGATATTAAAACAAAATGTCACATCATTCTAAAGAGTGACTATCCATATATCAAGAACTTGCTTTATAGAAAGTTGGGTGATACAGTGGATAGAAGTGCTGGACCTAGACTGAGAAGACCTGAGTTCAAATGCAACCCCAGATGCTTACTAACTCTGTGATCCTGGGTTGGTCATTTAACTTCTTTCTGTCTCAGTTTCCCCTTCTTTAAAATAGGAATAATAATAATTCAGATTCTTTGGAGGGCTGTGAGGTATAAAAGTGCCAGACCTGGAAACAGGAAGACTCATCTTTGTGAGTTCAAATCTGGCCTCAGATATATGCTAGCTGTGTGACCCTGGGCAAGTCACTGAACCCTGTTTGCCTCAGTTTCCTCATCTGTAAAATGAGCTGGAGAAGGAAATGGCAAGTCACTCCAGTATCTTTACCAAGAAAATCCCAAATGGGGTCACGAAGAGTCAAACATGACTGAAATGACTGAAAAACAACAACAAAACCTCTCAGGGTTATTGTGAGGATAAAATGAGATGATATTTGTAAAGTACTTTATAAGTCTTAAAGTGCTATATAAATCTTGGCAATTACTGTTATTATTTTAGCGTGGCAACTGTCTTCTTTGATTCAGATTACCACCTGTGTATAAATTTTAGCCTTAGAGAACTGCCTGAGTGACTAGGTTGAGCACAAAATATGTGTTATTCCTAACATACCTCCTCCAACATTTCTCACAGATAGTTCACAGAGCTCATTAGGCCTCTCTTATTTCACTTTTCCTTACTCTTGATCATGTGTACAAGATTCCCTAAATTCACTCCCTACCACTTCCTCTGCATTGGTATATCCAAAATTCACCTAGTTGAGGCATAATTCATCAATTCCTAAGTCCCGTGTGATGTCTGAAATAACACTGAAATAGTGTTTTGAAGGTGCTCTCCATTGAACCTGATTTCCATGTGCAGTGTCAGGAACATGCTGGATCAGGGTTCCTTGTTCTATAAAGTGAGTTTCCTAACTGGGAAGCATTATGATTTCCTGCTTATTCTTCCCCTAGACATTGAGGAGAGTCTTGTGCACATGATATTAACATAACCTCAGTCCCAAAGCCCAGGGTGCAGGACATTTATCTCCACTAATAAGGACAGCATTCCATACCAATGGACTTTGGAACTGGGGTTACATTCAAGTTATAAATTCTTTGGACTTAAAGCCAGAATGAACCTCAGAAATCACTACTATGTCTACAATTTCACTCTGCTAATTGATCAATCCTAGTCATTTCGGTACTGAGGGTGGTGGGTGGTGGAAACAGAGACAAGGGATCTGTCCTTTAACAGCTTCATATCTAGTTGTGGTTGGGTTGCTCCCTGCCTCCTACTTTGAATGAAGATGGAGAGCTCACAGGGAGAATGACTTTCTCTGCCCTTTAAGAAAAGTTCTGCCCAGCAGATTGCTACTAAACTTCATGGAGAAAGAGGAGGGAGGGGGAAGAAGGAGGAGGGAGAGGAGGAGGAAAAAGAGAGGGAGGGATCAAGTGAAAAGCAGGGAAGTCAACCTGGGTAAACAGCAGCTTGAGTGTTTCCCAGGCCAAGATGCTGAGAGGGATTGTACCTAGGGGTGGTCCAAGGAACTCAGCATCTAGACTTGGCTCCCAGCTGCCAAAATCTTGCTATGTTTCCTGCTTTTGCCTCTTGCTCTTCTTAAGCCAGGCTGCCTTTCTTCAGGGACATCCACAGTGCCTGGATTATGGGCCTCCCTTCAAGCCCCCTGTGCACCTGGAGTTCTGCTCTGATTATGAAACTTTTGGCTGCTGTGATCAGAGCAAGGATCGCCGCATTGCTGCTCGCTATTGGGACATCGTGGAGTATTTAGATCTGAAAGGCCATGAGCTGTGTGGTGATTATATCAAGGACATCCTATGCCAGGTAGGGATGGATATGATGGCTATGAGGCAGTGAAGGAAGGAGACTTTAGGATTGCTGCTAGGGGTGGGTGCCAGGCTGGATGGCAGTAGTGAAGGGGAAGCCGTTTCACTTCCCTCAATCACTGAACTTAGAGTTGGAGGGAATGCAAAGACTGTCTACTCCAACCTACTCCAAATCAAGAATTGCCAACCGGTGGTCACCCAGTTTCCATTTAAAGAATGTCAGTGACGAGGAACTCACTATCTACCAGGGCTGCCCCTAATCCTATGCTCCCCATCTGGGTAGGAGCTTACATTATCTTGCCAGGTAAATGTCCCAGGTAATGATTGTAATAGCATCCCTTTCTTCTATGCTGCCTGTATTGGACAGGGACACATACAGAGAGTAGAAGTGTGTAGGATTAGTCTTTAGCTGCAAAGGCTTTGGCAGGGACTGCCCTCCTTGGAGCTTTCTTAGTGTTCTGGAAGATAAAAAGTGGCTGTGCTTTGTAGGATTCTCTCTTTAACCTGTATCCTCTCTCTAGAGCCCAGAGGAGTTTGAAATAATTTTCTTATGGGATCTCTCTCTCTCTCTCTCTCTCTCTCTCTCTCTCTGTTACTCTATTTCTCTCTCTCTCTTTGGCAGGAGGGTAAAAGGTGGGTGGGGATAGGCCTCTTGGAAGTTCTAGCTGCTTCTGTATCCTCTCTGCAGTCTTAGAGGGGAAAGGTACGGGGCCAGTCTTTGCTGGGTCCCCTGTGGTATCTAGGGATTCATTCCCTCCTGGGTCTTCTCTTCAATGCCAGGGTAGTGATGGGGGGCAGGCGCAGGGAGGAGAGTGGGAGAGAGAGCATTTCTGTCCCTAGAGACATGGCTCCACAGGTTTCCAGGAGTTGGTTCAGTAAATGTCATGCAGCTGACCGCATGAGTCATGCAGCTTTTGCTTTTACCAGTCATCCTGGATTCAGCCAAAATCCACATTCTAGAGAAACACCAGCGTAGTTCTCCTCGGCCTAAAAATGTGACCTGTGAAAATGCATGCTGACTTTGAGGCAGGAGGATGGAGTAGCACCAGGAAACTGATAAGATTGCTGATTTTACTGGGAAAAACTATCAGTCATTTACTGTTAAGAGAGGCAGTGTGGTATAATGGGTAGAGAGCTGGCCTTGAAGTAAGCAAGATCTGGATTCAAGTTTCACCTTTGTCATATATTGGCTGTGCGTCCCTGAGCCAGTCACTTAGCATCTTGGTGCTCCAAACAACTCTTAAGAGGAAAAGGGCTACAGAAGATACATTCTATCTACAGAGATAATACAACACACATCCACTTCTGGCCTTACTACCTTGATGGATCCAAAGAGGTTAATAATGTTACCAGAATTCTTGAAGAGAATCAAGACAGTGCCAGACTCCAAAGCCAGGAGGAAGGATATCTATGGCCCAAGGCTGTATTGTCAATTCTTGGCTACAGCCACTCTGCCCCTTCCATTTAGTTGGCAAGAGGCCAAGTGTGTGTCAGCTGACATCAAGGCTTTCTTTTCTTAAAAAGAATTTAACATTCGCTTTTTAAAATTTTGAATTCCAAATTCTCTTCTTCCCTCCTGCCCCTCTCTCCGTCATTGAGAAGGCAAGCAATATGATATCAATTATACATGTGAAGTCATGGAAAACTTATTTCCATATTAGCCATGTTTGGAAAAAAAGCCAAAAAAAAAAAAAACCCAAACAAACCCATACACAAGAAATATAAAGAACATTTTAAAAAGTGCTTCAGTCTACATTCAGAGTTCATAGTCTTCTCTCTCTATAGGAGGATAGCATTTTTCATTATGGGTCCTTTGAAATTGTCTTGGATCATTGTCTCTTTTTTTTTTTTGGGTGAGGCAATTGGGGTTAAGTGACTTGCCTAGGGTCACACAACTAGTAAGTATCATGTGTCTGAGGTCAAATTTGAACTCAGGTCCTCCTGACTCCAGGGCTGGTACTTTATCCACTGCACCACCTAGCTGCCCTTGGATCATTGTCTTGATCAGAGTAGCTAAGTCTTTCATAGTTCATCATTACAATATTGCTGTTACTGTGTATAATGTTCTCCTGGCTCTGCTCACTCACTTTGCGTCAGCTCATGTAAATCTTCCCAGGTTTTCCTGAAACTATTCTGCTTGTCATTCATTATAACACAATAATATTCCATTACAATTATATATCACACAACTTGTTCAGTCATTCCCTAATTGACAGACATCCCCTCAATTTCTAATTCTTTGCCACCACAGAAAAAAGCTACTATAAATAATGTTGCGCAAATAGGTCTTTTTCCCTTTTCTCTGACCTTATTGGGACACAGACCTGGTAGTGGTATTGCTGAGTCAAAGGGTATGCACAATTTTATAGTTTTTTGGGCATAGTTCCAAATTGTTCTCCAGAATGGTTGGATTGGTTCACAAGTCCAACAACAGTGCATTAGTGTCTCTATTTTTCCAATCTCCTAGACATTGAATCTTGACTGTGTCACTTAGCATGTAACCTCAAGCAAGTCATTCTATTTTTCTGGGCCTCAGTTTCCTCATCTGTAAATAATGAGGCTGAATGAAGATGGTCCCTTCCAGCTCTAACTTCCTGTGATTCTTCATGACCTTTCTTCTCTCCCGTAGGGGCCAGTTTGTTTCTAGCATTAATAGACTGTTAGGATTGGAAAAGATGGGAAACTTCATCCCGTCCTTAATTGTTACCACCTGTTTTTGGCTAAGAGATATAGTGAATGGGTATAAGTAGGAAAGAAAACCATAACAGAAGTATGGCCTTCTTCAGATAATTCTCCTAATCTACCCCCATCCACAATCCAAATATATAGAGATGTTATCTTACAGCCAGTGAATTGAACTGGTGGGGTACTGGTAGCTATTATTTGTGGAAGGCTTTATAACACAAAGATGAAGAAATAACTAACTAGTATTATATTTTGCAAAGCTGATCATCAATTTGTTGCAGTTTTATGGTTTGTTGTGGGGGTTATCTCTTGAATGAATTCAGACTCAGACTATTTTTAATCCAAATAAAGACATTTATTGGGAATGATGACTCCAATGGGCTGAGTTCCAAGAGGAACCAGCAACTTAGTAAGATAAGATAAGCAATTTTATAGTGTAATGATGCTGATTACACAACAGAAATTATGAATATTAAAAAGGCAGGAGAGATTTGTCAAGGGATTAAGTAATGGGGGAAGGGTCCCAGCCTTGGTGAAACTATGCGTGCAATTTTCTATAATGTGTACAGAAAAACCCATGGGAGGGGGCTTGTATATGTGATAATGATATTTTAATAAACCTTTCTGCATTATAAGTTCACCTAAAGGACAGCTTTTGCTATTACTGCGCAGGTGCCTACTTAGGGAAAGTCCTTTCTATTGTTTTGGGGTTTATAATCTGCTTGGGCATCCTGGTGGTGCTGCTTTCTGATTGGCTGGCTATAGTGGTCCTGTCTGAGACTAGATGGATGTAAGTTGTGGTTGAGTGCATGGACACACCTGCTGTTTCTGTAGGAAATATGAGCAATGGGTCTGGGGACAGTGGCTAGCTAGCTAGCTAGAGGCAGTGGCTGAGATCCCATCACATGGACATGCCTGCTGTTTCTGTGAGAAATACGAGTTCATGGATACACCTCTTGTTCTTGTGAGGCAGTGAGTCATATAAGGAAGTTAGAATATTGAGGCATGGGTGGGGGGGTGGCTAGATAAGGGGAGTGGCTATATTGAGTCTAGGGCAGTGGTCCTGCTGTTCAGTGAGGCTTGTGATTGAGTCTGGAGGCCTGTGGTGTGGTTAAGGCCAGATTGTGTGGTTAAATTGGGACATACTTGCTGTTCAGCGGGGCCCATAAGGAAGTTAGAATATTGGGGTTGGGGTTAGCTTTATTAGGATTCCGTCAAATTCAACTCAACAGTCACTTATTAAGCATGTCCTGTGTACAAGGAACTGTGCTAGGAAACAGTCCTTGCTCTCAAGGATCTTATATTCTATTGAGTGACAGGACATATAGTCAAACACTCCAGTAGAACTCTGATCTCATCAATGTGGGCATTCCTTCCAATGATGGAGGTTGTAACTCATCCGTGGCTGCCCAACAACTGATGAAACAACATGTATAAAGGTTCACAAATACAAAGTAATTTCATGAGGGAGTGTTAATACTTGGGAAATTAGGAAAGGTAGGTGGATCACCAAGCCATCTTCTTTCTCCTACCACTTCCTAGTAGGCAGCAAGTTGTGGTGACAAGAGTGATGGATATCAAACCACAGGACCTGAGTTCTACTGACTGGCTATGTGACCATGGGTGAGATGTTAACCACTCTGAGCCTGTTTATCTGTAAAATAGGAATAATATGATACCTACTTCAAAGGACTGTTGAGAAGAAGGTTCTTTGTAAACTTGAAAACTGCTTGGTAAATACAAACTATTATTCTTCCTTAGCAGAAATCCTCCTCTTCTTGACCTTGATCCCTAACAGATTGGACAGTTGGAGAGAAGAGATTGAAGTTAGTTAATTTTGTTTCATTCAACAGTTCAGAAAAAATGTAAAGAGGGAGTGTGTTTATATGTGAGGTTCAAAGCATGAGATATCTATCACCAGGGGTCAGGTGATGAGCAATCCCATAGCCAGAAGAGAAGGGAGAAATTTGAAAGAAAACTGAAGCCATAAGATAAGCATTTCATATGGTACCTGACACATCATAGATGCTTAGTAAACGCTTGTTGATTGATTGACCATGCAGAGCAGTACAGCCTTTAAGTGAGTTGTCTTCCTGTGTCCTTCTCCTGCTATGTGGGCATGTGGGCAGCAGGAAAAGGCCTGAGTGTATCCAGAGACTCTGTACACCCACTGCCATTGCTTTGGCCATTTATCTACCATCCTGCTTTGGGTAATTTGTGGCAGTATTGTTGTTGTTGTTCAGTTATGTCTGGCTCATTGTGACCCCATTTGGGGGTTTTCTTGGAAAAGATATTGGAATGGTTTAACATTTT